CACTCGCCTTTACATTCGAAGGCATGTCTTACCGGGATAAAATATGCACATACTGTCCGACTCTATATTCCTCATTAATTCTGTGCACTCTGACATTAAGGGTCTATTGGTGTCTATTTTTTACAACGGGGAACCCAGTATGAGGATCGTCGCGATGCGGATCTCCCTGTTTCCAAAAAGGTTGCAATGAGATCATTGAACGGAAATAGCTATGAGGAAAACTCCTTGTACATCGGGAAACTGAGTTCGTATCACCGGCTTCCCATGCAAGATAACTTAGAGAGTGTGCTTTTTAAACTCCCAACTAGAGTCAAAGTGCATTTCAAGTTGACCCAAGGTCAGTCAAAGGTCATAGGCGTCAGTTGAACCGCAGTACTTCTTTATTGAAGCCGGCTGCAACCTAGTACTACAGTCCAGACCACGAACAAATTTCTGTTTCTCCGGAACCTACGTTTTTATATTTTTTCTGTTATTAGGGACTCTAAAGGAAAGTTAAGAATAGTTGTGTCCTGTGCCTTTTGATTACATCAGTCAGCCTTCGCTTAGGCAATACTATGAAGAGAATAATTGGCAGGTTACCGTTGAATAAGTTAATCAAGTTACTTGGGACTCGCCTATTGCTAATTTTTTCATTAAATTAAAAGGCCACGACTAGCATTTTTGAATGGCGGTCTCCTGTCGTGAGAGAACGAACTCGTTACTAAATGGTTAGTGCATTTGACTCTGATCAGAGACGTCGAGAGTTCGAGGCTCTGGCCACCCTAGTCTTCGTTGTCTTTGTTCTTAATGTCCGTCTGCCTGTATCCTAAGCCACCTAGTGGTGTAGGTTCCAGTGATAGCGCTAATGCCACCATGAAAGGACGAATGCGTCCTCTAACAGATCGGTATACCAGTGTTTTCCCCTATATATACATAAATATGAGGAAAAGAAGAGACGATCACGGGTATAACAGGTAAAATATACTGGCTTTTCGAAAGCGTACATGCTTGCATCAAAGGATGTTGGTTTTTTATGCGGCTTTTAGTATTTATCGGTTCAAAGTGGCATCTCGTCGGCTCTTCGTCCTATATATAGTGGAAGATGATGGGATTGTTTCCCAAGTATTACTCTACATAGCTGTTCAATCCTTGACAGTGCCTGCGATATCTGCAAAGTTAGGCTGCAACGTCGCGTTCTGAACACAATAAGTCTTATTATCCCTCTCCACTTACTAAAGA